GTTATATAGAATCTTTTATAGAATCCTTATTGCATGGTGTGTTCGTCCAGCTCTACACCTTGTTAACTATCTGATGCTGTGGCTCCAAGATGTGAGCACATGACTGCCTCCATGCAATAAGGATTCTATAAAAGATTCTATATAACTAGGTACAGCAGAACAGTCAGTATCTGCCAGATCTGCACAGGACATTCAATCCATTGCTTGAGCATTTATTCACTGGCAAGTCAAGATAGAGTCCAAGGATCTTAAACTGCCTCCCTGTGCTCCATTTCTTTAAAGGATAAAGGAGGTGCCTTTGTGCACCAACAGGGAGGAGGATCAGACAGGGACTCGGACTGCCATCTCAAGACATTTCAGAGGTACCCAGCCACATCATCTCCCTCTACTGCCAGCCACCTAAATGCCTGCATCAGTTCAGGCTGAGGAAGTATCTGCATCCAAGCAGGAATTCTCCAGTAGGTCAGAGTCCTCCAGGCCCTGGATCATCAGAGGACACCCTCCAAAATCGTCTGGGAACGGCATTGAAGCAGTCAACAAGCTTCTTCAAGTTCAGCTGCTATTGCCGAAATGGCATCAAAATGTAGTGATAGGACAAGAAAGATTAAGTAACAGTGAAGCCACTCAGGTTTACAAGCATCAACCATCCGTACAAACTGACATCACACAAATATCACATTTTGTATGACAGTCCTGTGGTCATTGTTGATCTATTCAGGTTTCTGACCATTTATGCTTTCCTGTAGACTACGATGAGGGATACTGGTCACAGTACACACTCACTCACACACCATGTGCAGCAGTGCAAAGAGTGCTGAAGCTGTCATGTTATGCTGCCCTTTGAGAGACACTCAAGCTCTGGAAAGGAGGAACTTAGGGTCAAAGAGTTATACAGTACGGAAACAGACCCTTCGGTCCATCTCATTCATGCCAACCAGATATCCTAAATAAATCTAGTCCAACTTGCCAGCATTTGGCCCATATCCCGCTAAACCCTTCCTATTCATGTACCCATGTCTTTTAAATGTTGTAATTGCACCCACCTCCACCACCTCCCTCTGGAAGCTTGATCCATACACGCACAACCCTGCGTGTGAGAAAGTTGCCCATCAGGTCCTTGGCTATTCATCCTATCCATACCCCTCATGATTTTAGAAACCTCTAAGGTTACCCTTCATAACTTAAGCTAGGTTTGTGGTAATTTAATTTAACCCCTCTACATCAATGTAATCAATGAATGCTCCTGGCAAACTGAGGTTTGAGTCATATAAGTCTCATCTCCTGCATAACTTCATATTGATGTTGCTCTCCCTGGAGTGCTGGAGGCTGACAGGTGACCTCCTCAAGCACTGCCATCACCACCACTGGCGAATCTTAAGTGTCCTTCTTCTCAAGAATTAACTGAACCACGGAACGTGGTTCAAATGTTGGTAATAGGACTTAATAAAGTTTATTCACTTATTTTCTGCAGAGTGTCCCGCCCTTCAGTGATGGGGCATTATGGAGTACACACATCATTGTACTTTTCAGTTTCTGTTTTGATTAGTTGTGTTTGCAGGTATGGGAATATAAACAAACCTTGGACTCCTTCCACTTTTAACGTGCTTTCTCTGCAAGTTTTTTTTTGCGAGCTGATTTAGGGAGAGAATATGAACAGGTGTTTTCTGTTTTTGCCTTCCAACTTGCTCCCGTTAGTGTTATTCCAGTGGAATAGGATGCTAATGAGTATTCATGGCATGCCAATGAAAGCAAAATAGATTCCTGATTACCAAGGTTGGGAAAGCTGACCCACCTGAAAAGGTCTGAGAACTTAAAGCTAAAACTTTAAACTGTTTTGAGGAAACTGAATTTTTGCATCGAGTCTAAATTAGTTCTACAACCCACCTTTCTAAAAGCTTGGGGTGCCCAGAAGTTTCCACCCAGTGACAGGAATTACAATGTGACATCTACTGCATGCACCACCATAAATGAGTAAGTGAAATAAATAACAGGGTGGGCTAACCATGATAGAGTAGTGGGGAGAATGTTAATGAGAAATCAGTAGTGGCGGCAGGAACTGCAATCGCTTTGCCAGGTTCTTAATCCAGATGCTTACCAACAAACATGTCAGCACGAAAATTTCATAATGAAATAACCCATGGCTCAAATCTTACAATCTGGGTGAAACACTTCTTCTTTGACTAGGATCAGATAAAAACCTCAGTTTCCTATCTATCATGTTTTAGGCCTGTCCTCTGATAAAGAACCTTGCAGAAGTCTCCAAGTGTAAGGTCCCTCACAAGTAAGTCAGATGTCACACGACACCAGGTTATAGTCCAATAGGTTCATGTGAAATTTTTCTAAGCTTGCTAAGCACTGCTCCTTCATCAGGTGAAGTTATTATAAGTTGGTGTCGTGTGACTTCTGACTCTGTCCACCCCAGTCCAACACCAGAGCCGCCACGTCATGGCCTCACACATAACAGCACAGGAAATCTTTATTGAAGCCATGACCTTTTTCTTTTTCTTAAATAAAATAGCACTATTTGCCATATTCCAGTACCTAAACAAAGTTTAAAGGTCCAAAGCCCCCATGAGAGCAAGGAGTAGAGTGGCAGGTAGTTAGGGAGGAGCAGGTAGGTCATGATGTGGGGCAGCATGGTGGATAAAGGACCAGGATAGCAGTGTGAGCAAGTGTGGGTGGGGAGCATTGAGTTCGGGGTGTTGTGTTGGGTGGTGGATTGGATCCGGAATGCATTATGATTGGGGGAATAAATTGAATAGTTACCCAGGATTTGGAACCAGTGTAATTGTGAAGGCAAGATGGTCAAAACCCTCCCAAGGTCTATGACTCTAAATCAGACTTGGAGGCTTTAGACACATGGCAATTGCCCATTGGAAGTTTAAACATTCCTGGAAATTCCTGCATAATCAATGCATTGGGACATCTGAGGGGTCTGATGAATATCTCCCAGGATATATCTGGTCTCCAACTATCCCGAGAGCAGAAATTTGAATCCATTTCTGCCAAAGAGTTGCAACCAAACTGCCTTGCCCCAAAATTTCTTGCTCAGTTAATGAAGCAAAATTTATTTTCAGCATAAATATAACAATAAATAAAGTTACTACCTGATGTGAGGCTGGACATGACAATGGATTAAATGTCTCATTAATTACCAATGAGCCCAGCCAGGCTATGTATGAACTTCCTCCACAATATCTTACCAGTGCCATAGCTCACTGTCTAAATCTTCTCAGGCTTTTGCCTCTTGCTGGACTGAGCAAGAAATTGGACAAAGTAGTTTCGGCACAAGTCTTTTCTGGTTTTCAGAATTTTTAAAACATCTCCAATGCTCCTGCTGCCTACTGACTGAAAACCTTCTGCAAAGTTGCACAAGTACAACCATTCCTGAGGATCTTCTGGTCAGAGACAGAAGTGACAGTGTTGCAACATACCCTAAATATGCATTGTAAACAGCCAGGTGATCTGAATTAGCCAATGCCAGAGCTGCTTTTGCAAGGTTAGCTTCTTCTTTCCCATTTATTGGCGTAATAAAGGGAGATTTCTCAGCCATGGCTGCAGCTATGGTTGCCTGGAAACAAAGCATACATTTGTAAACCCACATTTTATCCAAACTGTGAATAGGTTCAGAAAGCATAACAAGATTACACAAAGGAATAGTTTTTCCAGCGCAGCAAATGGAGGAATTTTTTTTACGCCCAATGTCCATCAGAAAAAGTGTTGTGCATGACTGCCAATGATGCCATCCTAATTTATATTAGCATAGTGCCTTTGACATTATTCAAACATGGCAAGTTTGCTCATAGAGGCCTATTTATAAACAGATGCCAAGCCAAAATAGTTTGGGGGAAGTGATGAAAAACTGTCAAAGATATTGATCTTACTGGAGCCCTTAAAGGAGGAAAGGAAGATGGAAGTTTTTAAACAGAGAATAATGAGGAGGCTGAAGGCTAGACCACTGATCACGGGACAAGGAAAAGTTTGATGAGTGGAAAGAGGATATTTAAGGTGCTGAGCTGGTGACTGCAATCAGAATGGATAAGGCCATTAACACAGCCATAAGAATTTTAAATCTGATGCTTTGGTGAACCAGAAATAATATGGGTCAATGTGTATAAGGGCAAGAGAGGAATGTAATCTGGTGCAACATAAAAAATAGACAGCAGAGTTGAAAGTTATGGAGGGTTTAGGACAACGGTTAGTGAGCACAACAATGGATTAATAACAGGCGAGGGTTTCAGGTATAAATGGGCTAAACTTGGTACTGAATACTTATGATCTATTTATTAAGTAAAAATATGCACTTGATTCACGATGATGATCCTAATGATGATATTGGGTCATGCAAAACATGGCCAAAGTCAAAAACAGTCTGATCTGCCATGAGATGATGGCCAAGGAGGGTCATATATTTCCAAGGCATGGTTTTCATATCAGAGGTGGATAACTGCAAATTCACTCCTCTCAATTTTTAAATGAAGGAAATTGTAACCCATATTAGTCTGGATCACAGATAACTAATCTAACAGCATCAAGACAGTAATGAGCAAGGTTTATCACTGCCAATACATACTTGAAAATTGACTACATGATCAAATCCAATGAAAAAAAGCTGAATAAAAGTCTTGGCTATTTTTTGTCTTCACATCCATGTGAACACTGAGCTTTTAAAAAACATAACATTGTTTTGTTTAAACTCATAATGCATTCCTTCAATACACTTACCACAGGTTCCAAGCAGTCAAAAATGGCACCAAATATCAACATCTTCCCAATTCTCACATTTACTGGAAGGGCAGCAAGATGCTGACCTAATGGAGTGAGTTTAGCTTCGGTGATTTCACAGGCTCCAATTTTCCTCAGCAAATTCATAGCGTTACTAATGACCTGGAGTTGTGGTGGGTCTAAAGCTCTGGCAAGAAAATCTTCTGGAGATCCATGACTGCATTTCTAAAGAGAAAGGCAAACAGTTTAGTAACTGTATAAACTGTAACAAAGTGATGAGCAGAATTAGATGCTGATAAAAATGGATTTTATCCAGTTTTTATTGGCTATAATGATGAATGACAGGGCATAGGGAGGGGTCAATGTTTAACAGTTTGCTGTCAGAGGAAAGGGAAGCTTAGCATAGAGAGTGCTTGTAAGACTGGAGGAAGTTAAAGTGAAAGAAATGGTAAGACTATGAAGCAGTTTAAACAATACAGTAAGAATTTCACTTTTAGAGCTTGTCTACATGGCTTAAAAATATTCAATGCAAACAGGGGTCAAGGAGCAAGAGGTATTTTATGAGCATCTTCCCTTTCAGGCTGATCACTTAAGGACACCATCAAGCTTATAAAGAGGAGCCAAAGTAACATTGGCTTCAGTTCAAAGTTGTGCTGGAGGAAAATGATAAACCTACAAGACCAGGAAGAGATACACAGAACACAACACAGAACACAACACAGAACACAACACAGAACACAACACAGAACACAACACAGAACACAACACAGAACACAACACAGAACACAACACACAAGGATATAGGCTGCAAATCACTCATTGGACAGTTATTTCAGAAATAAACACCAGCAATAATGCTGTAGAGAAATAACTCAAAGCAAGACTCAGAGGAAGGCAAACAGTCACTGAACTAGCAAGTCAGAGAGGTTGAAATCTCAAAGAAAACAAAAGAAAACATGTTAGAGAGGCTGGCCAGTTATGAGAATGGGTTATGAAGGCTAAAATGGAGACAGTTAGGAAATGCAGGGTGTAAAATCAGAAGCTTTAAAATGAACTAGAAGCTCTTAAGAAAGAAAACAGTAAATGCTGAGAAGATTTGAAGCAGTCAGCAAAGCTTGAGGAACAGTCTGGATAACCAGCAACAAAACTTGGCTGCAGTGTGTCAAGATAAGCAAATTCTCCAAAAGCAACCAAAGTCCATGGAAAAAAAAACACAATGACAACACAACAGATGAAATCACTGGCACCTCCAGAGAAAGTCACCATTGTGGGATCTGGACATATCTGCAAATTATCTAGACATTATGAAGACTTAAAAGTTCATTTATTACTGTAAATAGCTAAACTTTCATTTAGAAAGGAGGGAATAGTGTACGTATACCTTGCCTTTTAAAGAGTTCACAAGAGTTTTTAAGACTCCATCTGAGCTGTGTACACAATGTTGTGCCCGCCTGGCATTAGTCTGCTGGGGTTTGAAGGCCAAACTGACAAAAATTGATCTTATCCAGTTTTTATTGGCTATAATGATGAATGACAGGGCATAGGGAGGGGTCAATGTTTAACAGTTTGCTGTCAGAGGAAAGGGAAGCTTAGCACAGACAGTGCTTCAGTTGGCTTGCTGTACCATTTACTTCATAACTTAAAATTTGTTTTACTGTTTTGAATAAAATAACTCACTCAATCCCTGATGAATGATGGTTTATTAGGCTATCATGACCATGATAACTGAGACTTGGGCGAAGTAGTAGAGAGTTAGAATGAGATGAAGCATGTACAGTTTAATATTTTTTCAGTATTTTGATGGGGTTGAAGTAATTAACATTTCAACTCATCTGCTGGAACAGTCAATTATTATAATATTCCTGACTTCGATTCCTTCCAGTGTTCCACTTTCCCTGGCACAGCTTCAATTCCTTTTCTTTTTTAAAGAAAATTGCAAAATCTTAGCTTGACTTCTTTTCCACTGAACGTATCCCGACACTCCAGTCTGGGATTAATAATAACTTATTCAAGACAGTTCAATTACTTAAAAATCCTTTTCTTAGAAATGCTGCTTAGCACATGCTAACTCTACCAAAGGATTTCTTAGTACTTGGGAGATCAATACAACCTTTTCTCTCAGACTGGGGGTCATTGTGACAGAATAACGGGACACTCATTTAAAACTAAGAAGCAAAGAAATTTCTTCTTCCGTACAGTAATTTATGTCTGATACCCTCCACACCAAACAACTGTGCAATCAATTATTTAAAGAGGAGGTAGATGTATTTTTGAAATATCAGGGAGTTGACTGCTATGCTGAACGAGCACAAAAGACTAATTGAGGCCAATGGCTTTGTCGAACAGAGAGGCATGGTTGAAAGGCTGAACAGCTTATACTCGCTCCTATTTCTTATGTTTTTATGTAAAAGATGCACTGCAGCAACTCACCAAGGATCCTGCAAAAGCATCTTCCAAAGCAGTGAATCTCACCACCTAGAAGGACAAGAGCAAGGGCAACTGATGTATTGGTACACCAGCATTCTGCTCCCCATTCTGACTTTCAAAGATATGAAGTAGGAGCAGAACTGGGTCATTCGGCCTTTTAAGCATGCTCCACCATTCTAGAGGATAACAGCTGATCTAGTGGTGTTTCAAATTTGGGCGGCATGGTAGCACAGTGATTAGCATTGCTGCCTCACAGTGCCAGGGAGCCGGGTTAAATTCCAGCCTAGGGTGGAGTTTGCACCTTCTCCCCATGTCTGCATGCATTTCTGTCAGGTGCTCTGGTTTCTTCCCACAGTCCAAAGATGTACAGGTTAGGTGGGCAAGTCATGGTAAATGCAGGGTTACAGGGATAGGGTGGAGAGCTGGGTCTGGGTGGGAAGCTCTTTGGAGGGTTGGTGCAGACTCAAATGGGCTGAATAACCTCTTCCTGCAATGTAGCAATTCTATGAAATTCCACATTCTCATTTGCCTTGAGAACCTTTGATTCTCTTGCTAACAAATATCTATCCACCTCTGTCTTAAAAATATTCAATGAATCTGCTTCCACGGTTTTCTGAGCCCTTCTGAAATAAAGATATGTCTCCTCATCTCTGTCTGAAAATGTAACTACTAATTTTAAAACTGTGCCCCCTAGTCTGGAATCACTCAAGAGGAAACATCTTATCTATGTCCATCTTGTCAAGACCATTCAGGATCTTATAAGCCTCAATCAAATCACACCTCACTCTTCTAAACTCCAGCTGAAACAAACTCTGCCTGCTCAACTAATCTTCAACCAATAAACAATGTTAAACTGCACAACCACACAGCCACTCCGAGCATCTGCACCTGCCAATCTGTGCCGATACATTCTCTTCCAGTTTTTCAGCCACTGCAATGCATGAACCTCAGAGGTCTGATCAGCAGCCACAGAAATTAGCAGGAATGCAGTTGGCAACCCACTCATTCCAGATATTCAAGATAGTAGACCTCCCTCTTTAGCCTCCAATGTGTTTAGGTCCTTGGCTAAATAAGGAGACTTGCAACTATAGCACTGCTTCTTCACTGAATCTGGGTCAAAATCCTAGATATCCTTTTCTAACACTACTGTACTTGCGCTGACACCAGATGGACTTGAGTTGTTCAAAAAGGTGGCTCATCACTACTTTTCAAGGACAATTAGAGCTGGCAAGGCATGTTTTGAACAAATCTAAAAAAAGTTTGATATCACCTAGAGATAAAATCATCTGCTTGACAAATATCCAACAGACATGAAAAATTCATTTCCTTCACTCCAAGTGCACCATAGCTGCAGTTTAGAAGATGCACTGGAGGATCATTCCTCAGCTTTTTCAACATTTCCCAAACATGTGACTCGAAACATCTAGCAGGACACAGATTACATCATGATATTCATGTGATCACAACTGAAAACTCCCTTCTAGATTGCACACCATTCTGATTTTGAAATACATCAAAAATACAATTACAATTAAATCAGTTTTTGTATCCTCATCAGCATTATTTCAAAATCTTGAAGTTCCTTTCTAACAGGATGGTAGGAGAACTTTCATCTCAGAATTGTGGGGGTCAAGGTAGGTAACTCACCACCAACTTGTTCAAAGGACACAGAAATGAGCAACAAATGCTGATTTTTGTGAGCAATGCCCACATCCTGTGAATGAATAAAGTGAGTATTGTCAGAGGGCCAAGGTAGTCCAATGAGTGGGAGGGAAAATTTAACAAAGGAATGCTTGTTGTATTATGATTAGGATTCAACAACACAGCATTAGGTAAAGGGCAAAGTTGCCACAATCGCAGCAGACAATAGGGCTGCTCTAATAAGAAAGGGAAAAAACTGGTGGAGAGTTTAACCTGATGGTCACCATGCCCCAGACGAGGGGTGAGGTTGAGAAAGTGGGACCATCATGTTACTTCAGCCAGCACAGGTATTTAACACACACTGTTAGCACCACTCTGCACTGCAAACCAGCTGATCAGCTAACTAAAACCTACAACTGAAACCATTATTGCAGTTATAAAGCAAGTGACACAACCAATTTTCCAACATCTTATATTGCTTTAAATCAATTAGTTCAGGAAAGATAGACACATCTTCTGTCATCCCTAACATGTCACCCCAGCCACCATTGCTCCTTAAAGCTTGACATTTTTGAGGATGGTTCAAACTTACATTTATTTTAAATTAAATCAATAATGTTTGAGAGAGAACATATACAAGTGATAGACAAATAATACACTAGTTTTACATATTGTTTGAAATAAATTAGGTTTAAATGTCAAAACTTACACATACATTATTTAAATCTATAACAGACTAAGTGATACACTGGCTGTACAGCAAAACATTTTTTTAGTCATTAAGTATTTGAGATGTGTATAAGAAAACGTTACCATGATATGAAGACAAAGTTCTTCCAGCGGCACACGTAGGATTTCTGGGACAGAATAATCTATGAAACTGTCATACCTAAAGAAATAAGCACGACATAATTTCTTTAAAATACAGTTAAATCAACTTTATTTATAGGTGGATGCACATAAATGAAATGGAGGTTCATTCCAACATCTAATAACATTTTCAACGCATGACTATCTACATAAAATTCTTTCAGCCGGAGCGAGAATAAAGGTAAAACATTTCTTTTTAAAAAAGCAAACAGGTTAATTAGCATCAATAAATTAAAAATTACTGCTGAATGAATGATAAATCCAGCCCTGAAAAATGTCACAACCTGAAATGTTTATCTTTTCACAGATGCTGGTAGACTTGCTGAGTATTTTCTGTTTGTATTCTCCTTTCCTGGAAAAAAAATCTCTCAAATCTGTTCTGTACCTTCTCTGGTGTAATAACGATGTGAAGAACAAGAACTAAGGTCGTTAACTGAACTCTAGCTGTGGGCCAACTTTAAAGAGCTCATGCGTTACCGCTTTATTACTGTAGTCTACGTCTTGGCTAATAGGCTTCTTAAACATCAAATCCATGAGTTCTACTAACTTGAGGAATGTGTGAACGTGCACTCCAAAGACCTTCTATACTTTTACTCTTCTCGTTACATTTATTTCATGGAGTACCTGTAAAATTGCCCTGTATAGCATTGCTCTGCTTTAATAAGTTATCTGGATTGGAAATCATAAAGTGCAAGATTTATAGCAACTTTGTTCACAGCAGCACATTACAGTACCTGACCTGATTGGCACCAATTTGGCACAATGTCTTCAACAGTGATTTCTAGCTTTTCCAAATGTTGCCTGTCGGCCCAAGATCTGCAGCAGTAACTGCGTTCCTCAATCAACAGTCCTTCCCTAACTCTGCAATCTGTGAATGAATTTGTTCTCTATTTTGAACATCAATTGGATGGTGGCAAAGGCATAACATGTGCTCTAGGTGAATGACGCTATTGTCCATCAAGTGGACCAGTACTGACTGAACTGACCAAACGCTGAAGGAAATAACAGCTAAACAGAGACTGCAGCAGGCCGTGTGGGAACCAAGAAGAGGGAAAATGTACTTGACCTCGTCCTTGTAAATCGAGCTTTGGCAGATGTATTTGTCTATGACTGTACTTATTGGACTGACCTTTGCACTCTTCTTGTGGACAGTAACCCCATTTCTTTATTTAATTTGAGAGATGTGGGCTATGATGGCCTTCCCACCCCAAGTTATCCTCGAGAAGGTGCTGCTGGGTTGCCTTCTTGAACTGCTGCAGTCCATTTGCGGTGGGTAGACCCACAATGCCATTAGGAAGAGAGTTCCAAGATTTTGACCCAGCAACACTGAAGGAATGATGACATGCTTCCAAGTCACGATGGCATATGGTTTGGCGGGGAACTTAGTAATATTCCTGTACATCTGCTAGCCATGTCCTTCTAGGAGGTACTGGTTATGATTTTGGAAGGTGCTGTATAAGGAACCATGGGGAATTTCTGCAGTGCATCCTGCAAATAGCACACCATTCCGCTACTGTGTGTCAGTGTTGGAGGGAGTGGATGCTTGTGAATGTGGTGCAAATCAAGCAGGCTGCTTTGCATTGGATGGTGTCAAGCTTCTTTAATAAAAACCAAAAGAACTGCGGATGCTGTAAATCAGGAACAAAAACAAAGTTGCTGGAAAAGCTCAGCAGGTCTGGCAGCATTTGTGGAGGAGAAAACAGAGTTAACGTTTCGGGTCCGGTGACCCTTCCTCAGAACTGAGTTCTGAGGAAGGG